TTTTTTGCTTTTGACGATCGAATCGTCGACATAGACTTCCATGTTTCGGCCCTTTTGATCGGCAAAAACTTGATCCACCAGCCTTTGATAGGTTGCCCCCGCATTTTTCAATCCGAAGGGCATCATTTTGTAATTGTACACCCCAGCGTTCGTGACGAATGTTGTCTTTGCTCGATCGTCGGGGTGCATGAAGATCTGATGATACCCCGAGAATGCGTCCATGAAACTAAGCAAGGCATGGCCACTTGTCGAATCGACTAGCTCATCGATCCTCGGCAAGGGATAGAAATCCTTTGGACAAGCCTTATTTAGGTCCGTGAAGTCAACGCACATCCTCCAAGTACCATTGGCCTTCTGAACCATCACCACATTTGCCAGCCATTCTGGATATTGGCAAGGTTCGATGAAGCCTGCCTCCAGCAATTTTTTGACCTCGACTGCGATGTCTCGGTTCTTATTAGCGGAGTAATTCCGCTTCTTTTGCTTAATTGGTCGACACGTTGGGTCAACATTAAGCTTATGGGAGATGAGGTCTGGACTTATCCCGGGCATATCAGTTCCCGAGAAAGCAAACACATCTCTGTTGTCCCGAAGGAGCTGAATAAGTTCACAACGGGTGTTCGGATCAAGGTCCATCCCGATTGTTACAGATTTCTCAACGTCTCCTTCGGCCAACTCAACTGTTTCAGTCTGTTGGTCCATGTCCATTGCTGATGGACTGGACTCTTCATAATCTGGCCTGCTGCCTATGTCAGCAGGTGTCCCAGTCTTTTTGTTCTTCGACTGGCTCTCTGAGTCTTGCTGTTCAGCTGAAGAGCTAGCCTTTTCCCTTTCGGGCCCTTTACCTCTGGGTTCAGATCCTTGGGCCGAAGCACTTAGGCCTTTCGGCTTTTTTGTGCTTGGCTCTCTTTCTTTTTCTTTCTCCTCCTCATCCTTGTCGTCATCTGGGCGACTACTGGATGGCTTGAGTTAGTTGCACCTTCGGGCGTCCTTTTGGTTGCCCTGTATCCTTTCGGGGAAGCCGGCGTCTGAGACGTAAATCATCAGCTGATGATAAGTTGAGACGACCCCTTGGATCTCATGAATTATGGGTCTCCCCAAAATCACGTTGTACACTGAAGGAGCGTCAATGACCAAAAAATTCAATCATGACGTTCCTGGCTACCTCATCGCAGCCGATGGTGATAGGAAGTGTCACCTTCCCATCTGGATAAGTTGAAGCCCCGTTGAACCCGGATACCGGTTAGGGTACCGACGTAAGGTGCTTGGGCTTCAGCTTGATTTGATTATAGGCCTTTCGGAACAGAATGTTTGCTCCGCTGCCACCGTCAACAAGGACCTTACTGACGTCGTGGTTGGCCACCGTGGCGATGATCACCAACGGATCCTCGTGAGGGAACGTTATCCCCCGGCAGTCGGCGGCTGTGAACGTCATGTTCGGCACCGGCGATTGGGGAGACTGAATGTCAGCGTTGTTCACCTGGTGAGTCAAAGCCCTAAGGTGTCGCTTGTGCTCCCTCCGGGAGCATATTCCTCCCGAGATAACATTGATCGGAGAGAATTTCCCCTCCGGCTTTTTACTATTCTTCCGGGGGAAGTCGAGGTCTTGCCGAGAGTCCTTTGCTGACTTCTCGGACTCTTTTTTCTCGCGGTGATCCGCGATGTATTTTTTCAAGTATCCCTTCCGGACCATGTCCTCTATCTGGTCCTTCAGTTGGATACACTCCTCAGTGTTGTGTCCCGGAGACTCGTGGAACTCGCACCACTGATTTTTATTTTTTCGCTGATACCACTCTGGGAGTGGTCTCGGCTTTCGGTAACTCTGCTCCTCCTTCGTCACGCTGTAAGTTTTGGCGCGTGGAAGAGAGAGCGGAGTGTAGGACTCGTATCTGCCTGTGTATGAGGCAGATTTTTCCTTCTTTGGGTCGCTGGCCGAAGATTGCTCCGAGGCCTTTGACTTTCCCTTTGCCTTATGGCCTTGGCCTTCAGACAAGGGTATTTGTCTTTGTTTCCCTCCCCCGAATTGAGGTTGGGTTTTCGCTTTGTTCCATTCTTCGGCTCGGATGAACTTATCCGAGGCATTCAGAGCTTCCTCCAAGGTCTGCGGGGTATGCATGACCATGAAGTCTAGGAACTTCCTGGGCTGAAGGCCATTCTGCATTGCAAAAACGGCTAGCCCCTGGTCCAGCTGAGAGACGCTGGATGACTCGTTACTGAAACGGGTCAGATAGTCTCGGAGGCTTTCGGTTTCCCCCTGTTGCAGACTCATGAGTTCTGCAGTAGTCTTCTCTCAGCAGTTTGCCGTGGAAAACTTGCTCCTAAATTTGGAGGACAGATCATCCCACCCTGTTATGGAGCCTTGCTTTACTCCCTTGGAGATCCACGCTTGCGCGACCCCCTTGAGAGTGGTTGGGAAATATTTGCACCAAGTCGCTTCGGATCTGGGGCAAAGATGCATATGAGTCTCATACGAGGCCACGTGGTCCTTCGGATCCGAGGTCCCGTCATATGTGATGTGCGACGGTATTTTAACCGTGGGCACGTGCTCTTCCAGTATCCATTGCTCGAATGGCGAACTGGCGGGTAGCATAACGGCCTTGCCCTTGTTCCTGGCCGAAGGGACCGCGCTCCGCCCTCTTAGAGAGGTAGGAGTGGTTTTCGTCCCTGGCTGGGAAGTCTGGGCCTCGGCCGCAGGGAACGAGAGGCGACTGCGCACGCTCGGTTCCTTGCCGCCGAGTCGGTCGAGGACACTTCGGCGAACAGTCTCAGGTTCTCGGTGAGTAGATTCTGGCCGAGAAGCTGAGCTGCTGCTCTTATGCGTTTCTGGTCGGGAGGATGAGGATCCTTTTAAAAATTGAGGGTTCTTTTTCCTCTCTTTTTCATTTTTCCAGGTATCCTCTTCCCACTCTTCCAGTTCCCGGAAGGAAGGAAGCTTCCCACCATCATGGTCTAGCTTCCTCCGCTGATGCCGGGTATGCGGAGGAGTTCGATCACGAGGTGGTGGCATATTTTGTGCCCTCATCGCCTCCATGAGCACTGCCAGCGCTCTTGCCACCTCCTCCGAGCTGGGCCCCGTCAAAGGGGTCCTTGGCCGAGTATGGGAATGAGGGCGCACAGTCAATGGTTGGCTTTGGGGCACTGAATGTGTCCTATGATCGCACTCACCCCTGCTAGACCGAGAGTGACTCGGCCTATGATGAGAGTCATGAATTACGGGAGAAAGGAAATCCTCCCTGTATGATCCTCCCCCCGAGCTGGCACCCTTGGGAGAGTTCCGGTCCGGCGAGGGTGATGGTGTAGGGGTTTTAGGCTTTTCACCCGCTCCTTGACGGAGGCCTTTGCTCTTGCGGTTCTTAGCCATTGCTACTAAGATAATTGCAAGATGATCTTGGTTAGAAATTTGGCTTAAAGATTTTTGAAAGTCTTCCCCACAGACAGCGCCAAATTGTTTCGGGTGAAAACAATGGGACCTTGCCGAAGGTCCGATGAAGTGGTGAAGACTAGATTCGATCCAAGAAATGTTGGGCCGAAGGTTTCCTGCACAGTAAACACACGTAAAATAGCCTCGGGGGTGTTGCCGAGGAAGGCCCCTCCGATGCTAAAGTCAGTACAGTGCGTAGAAAGAGAACACTATGCAAGAGAATTAATTGCTTGAGGCTTTGCTTGAATGAATGTACAAATGTAATATTGATGGCTTTTATACCTCTTCATACATGGAGAAGTTGGGCCTTAGCCCAATTGGCTTGCCTTGAGGACTGATCTTTGACTTTAGCACAATTGGAGAGATGAACCTTGACCTTGGGCTTTTAATTGGATCATTTAATGCCTAAGCCCAATTGGACTAAATTGGACCCAAACAAAAGTAATGACATGATTGTGCACAATAATCCTCTACATAATCAGAACCAAAAACCAGAGGAAGTCGAGGATTTTTGTTCTTGGATTCTTGTCAAGAAACCAGCCAGAAAAAGGAACTCTGCCACCGTGCCTGATGGTCCTAAGGGGCCAGACAAAGGTGGTGTTCGAACTGAGCAAACCAGGGGTGAAAAAGGAAAGAATATGCAAAATATTGGGAATACTGGAAATAAGGGGATCGGTTCACGATTTGCAGCTCTTGATTTACATGAAGAAGATATTGTGGAGCAAGAAGAGGAAAGAAATAAGGAATTGGTAAATTTGGAGAATATCTCCCAAGATAAGGATAATTTCAAATTTCCTTCTATCAATTTAGGAGATAATTCCCAGTAAAACAAATCAAAAAATATTCCTAATCCCATGATGAGAGTAAATAATAACTCAAAGAGTCAACAGCAATCAAAGCCAAAAAAATCGGTTACCAAAGTTTATCAAGATAAGAATAAAAAAAATATCTTCTCAAGATCTAAGGGAGACACTAAAGGAAAAAGAAGTCAATACGGTTGATTCTGTTACTAATATTTTCACTCAAGCAAATCAAGGAAAGGAAAACTCTATTTTCCAATTCGAAGCAAACCATCAATCCATCCCTCAAGCTACCCTCGAGACTTTCCAAGCCACTAAACTGCCAGAAGAAGCCAATTTTGAGAATTCTCCCTCTATCAGTCATGTTTCGAGCTCCTTACCCGATCACTCTGAACATCCCCCCGGGGAAAACCCTGTTTGTTGGATACGAGATGGAGCAACCGTACCTAATGATCATGCACCCTAAGTCTCATGTTCTGGAGATGAATCTAGACTCATTCCTACCACCAATCTCGACTCCGAAGGAATTGGTGGAAACCTTGAAAATTCCAGTTGAGCTCCAACGCTTGTTGAGACTCATTAGCCAAGCTTATTTATCAACCCTTTCATAAATTCCTATGTCTATGGAAGAAAGCTTACCTAATTTGGCTTTGGATTACTTACCAGTTACTTGTATGATGTGGAATGTGCAAGGATCTGGAAGCAGCAACTTCATCAGTTCTTTGAAAGATCTAGTTCGAACTCATTAACCTAATGTCTTGACCCTTGTCGAGACTCATATGGGAGGGGAGCAAGCAGAAAAAATAGCAAAAATTATTGGCTATGATGGCCATGAAAGAGTGGATGCTATGGGGTTTAGTGGAGGTATTTGGGTGTATCGGAAAAAAGATTTAGTGACAATCAACCCAATCCATAAACACAACCAACACATCACAATGGAAATCACTAGAGTGGGTGCAACTCCTTGGTTTTTCTCTATTGTGTATGCAAGTCCGGATGCCACGAAAAGAAAAGAATTGTGGGAAGAATTGAAATCCTTTGCTACTCAACACAACAAACCTTGGTTGATAGCAGGAGATTTTAATGACACAAAGTTCCTCTCGGAGAGGAATACTTCATGTAGGGAAACTGATAGAAGATCCGCCTTATTCAATGAAAGGATTGAGGATATGGATCTCATTGAGGTTGAATTCTCAGGGGCGGCTCATACTTGGGCCAGAGGTCGTTCACTGGAAACTAGGCAAAGTGGTAGACTCGATAGAGCTTTATGTAATGAAGGATGGGCTTTGCGTTTTGAGAAGGCTTCAATGAAACATCTTACTGCCATTCACTCTGACCATTGCCCAATTTTTATATCCCCTAATGGTTTTGTTCCAATTCAAGCTCTTCATAGACCCTTTCGATTCCAATCTACATGGATGTCACATGAAAATTTCCAGGAATTTGTGTCTCAAAAATGGGATAAAAGCAGGCCCTTGATGTCTGCTCTGTCAAAGCTTTCAAATGATTTAATGCTATGGAATCGAGATACTTTCGGAAACATATTTGAGCAGAAAAGACCTTGGTAGCTAGAATTGGTGGTATTCAACGCATGCTATCTACCAAGCAGGATAGGGGATTGATTAAGCTTGAAAGCAAGCTTCGTCGAGACTTGGATGAATTTTTGACTAGAGAAGAAACATTGTGGTACCAAAAATCTCGAATTGATTGGTTGAGAGATGGAGATAGAAACACGACTTTCTTTCACCTAAGTACAATTGTCCGTAGGTGGAAGAACCGTATTGTTGCTATTAAAGGAAGTGATGGTGAATGGTTACAAGACAAAGATCGAATCAAGGATAACATTGTGGGTTACTTCTCTAAATTGTTCACAGAAGAAGGAGAACCAAGTCACTTTGACGTCCCTCAAGACGTATTTCCAGAGCTTCCTTTAGATTTATGGAGACAGCTTACTCAACACTACTCAAAATTTGAAATTGATGCTGTAGTGAAAGAGATGGCTGCTTTGAAGGCACCCAGACCTGATGGGTATCAAGCGTTGTTCTATAAAAAAAATTGGGAACTTGTGGCAGCAAATGTGTATGATACAGTTATCCCAATCTTGGAAGGAAATGACATTCCAAAAAATTTTAATAACACTTTTCTAGCCTTAATTCCAAAGAAAGAGAAACCGGAAGTTGCATCTCAATTTCGCCCCATAGGGCTGTGTAATGTGGCTTACAAGATTGTCACTAAAGTCATCATTAATCGCCTCAAGCCAATCCTACCGAATCTCATCTCTAATACCCAATCAAGCTTTGTCCCGGGTAGACAAATAACTGATAACATTGTGATTATGCAAGAGGTCCTTCACACTATGAGACGAAAGCAAGGAAAAAAAGGGTATATGGCCATCAAAATCGACTTCGAAAAGGCATATGATAGACTTTGATGGTCCTTTATTCGTGATACCTTAGTTCAAATGAACCTCCCTATCACTATGATAGAGGTTATAATGGAATGTATCACTACAACGTCGATGCAAGTCTTGTGGAATGGAGAACCTTCATCTAGCTTCAAACCGAGTCGAGGTATTCGCCAAGGTGATCCCCTATCACCCTATTTGTTTGTGATGTGTGTGGAGCGATTTTATCAAATTATTGAGGCTTCGATTGTGGGTGGTTATTGGAGGCCTATTCGTGCTAGTAGAGATGGTCCTCTCCTCTCTAATTTATTTTGTGGATGATATTGTACTCTTTGCCGAAGCATCAGTAGACCAAGCTATTTTGATCCAAGCTTGCCTCGACAGATTTTGTCAAGCCTCGGGTCAAAAAGTTAGTCTACCTAAATCCCGTATTTTTTTCTCAAACAATGTTGATCATGTGTTGCAAGCTAAGATCAATGCAGCCTTAGAGATGGAAGTTACCACGGATTTAGGTTTGTACTTGGGTATGCCGACTCTCACAAGCCGAGTCACAAAAGACACATACAGTCATCTTTGCGAAAAAATAGATCGTAGGTTAGCTGGGTGGAAATCCAAATATTTATCCCTTGCGGGACGTATCACTTTGGCCAAATCAACATTGTCAACCATGTCTCTTTACTCAATGCAAACAGCAAAAATACCTCGTACAATTTGCGATAGCATTGACAAGAAAATGAGGAGATTTATTTGGGGTGGGAATAAAGACAAGCGCAAGGTCCATCTGTTATCCTAGGAAACACTCCAAAGGCCGAAAGGAAATGGTGGAATAGGCATATATTCGGCTAAGCAAGCGAATACATCATTCCTTGCAAAACTGGGCTAGAGAACACTCACTGAACCACACTCTCTTTTGTCACGGGTTCTTCGTGCAAAATACTGTAAAGGGCGTTGTGACATAGATATGTTTGAGCCTAAACAAGGTATGTCGAATGTATGGAGTGGAATTACAAGTACAGAAAAATTTCTTAGTGAAGGGATGCATATGGCAGTGGGAAATGGTGATAATACGCTTTTTTGGGATCATAAATGGGTAGGAGATGGGCTGCTAAGTGATTTAGCTACTCAACCTATTCCACCAGAGCTTGCAGGGGCTACAGTGGCTGAAATGTGGGAAGAAAATCATGGATGGAAGTGGCATATCTTTTCTCCTTTTCTATCACAAGATACACTAAAACTCATTCAGAGTTATGAACTTCGAATGGACCCAAGTATTGGTGACTTGGCCTATTGGAAGGGTGATGCAAAAGGGAAATACACCATCAAATCTGCTTTGCAAATCTTGCGCCATGAAATGGATATAATTGATTATCACTGCTGGGATTTAATATGGAAAGCCCCTGTGCAACAGAGAATTAGAGCTTTCCTTTGGCTTTCTTGTCATGATCGAATTATGTGCATGCAATTTGAATATGTTCAAACACAATCTTACGGATTCCCCAAGATGTTATCTATGTGGTCATCAAGAGGATTCTACTCTTCACATCCTCAGAGATTGTCCAGCTGCAAAATCAGTGTGGCGCAAACTTGTTCACCCCACTCAATTTTTCCAATTTTTTCAAGGTACTTTAAAGAATTGGTTACAATTGAATTTAGCTGGAGAAGAAAGTTATATGACTGAGGACTGGCCTACAATTTTAGGTGTTGTTATTTGGTGGATATGGCGTTGGCGTAATTGCCATGTGCATAATCGAAGCGAGGAAATCCCAATTGACATTAGAGCTTTTCTTCGTATTAGAATTGAAGAAACAAAATGCAGATTTTCTCTTCATGAAGAGCAACCAAAGAAGCAACGAATCAATGCTAACATTTCTTGGCAACCTCCTGCTTTTGATTAGTATGTGCTCAATTGTGATGGTGCTGCTAAGGGCTGCCCTGGACCTGCAGGTGGAGGGGGTATCATCCGTAACAGTGAAGGCAAGTTTATTTCTGGTTTTACAACTAACTTTGGAAGCTGCTCTGCTTTTCGTGCTAAAATATTAGCCTTGGTTAAAGGCCTCCAACTAGCAAAGAATCTGAGAATCAAGCAATTAGAAGTGCAACTCGAAAACCTTGCTTGTGTGCAAATATTACGCAAAGGAGAAGGGAATGGAGGTGAGAATGTTCATGCTATCAACGAATGCTTGAGAATGCTCAACAATGATGAATGGAGGGTAAGAGTAGCACATATCTACAGAGAAGGAAATCGCGCGGCGGATTGGTTGGCCAACTGCGGAGTCTCTCAAGACACAATTTTTAATATTGTTACCTTTGTTCCCATATAGTTAGGAAGGATCTTGGAGGAGGATGCAAGGGGTGTTTCCTAGCCTCGATTTGTACCTCCCTAATTTCCAGTAGCTGTAGTTGGCTTTTTTATTTTCTTTGGTTTTGTTGCTTGCTTCCCCTGTTAACTTTATTTTTCTTTTTTTCTTATTTTCGAAAATATCTTTTGAAAAAAATAAAATCTCCATGTTTCCCAAAACTTGCGGCCTACTCTCCCATGTTCTTCTTCAATCATGGCTTTGCATATTGAGGAGTTCATGGTTCCTTAATTCAAGGGACATGATCTTCTTAGTGGGTATGAGTAGTGGCGTAATGGATTTGCTGCACAATAAGGTTTTTCCAATATGTTTATTGCTCTATAAATAGTCTTTGAAATCTGATGGAAAAACTTACCCTTGCTCACATAAGTTTTCAAGCTTCAAATCGAGTCAAGTGTCAATTCCACACAAGTTCATTTGAGTGTTCTTAATGTTCTTATACTAGAGTTTGTTTATTTTTCGAGTTGTAATTTGGGGAATGGGGAAGTTCGAGTGAACGTTTGTGTATAAGAAAGAGAAGTGAGAAAGAGAAGAGAAAGAGAAGAGAAAGGGAAGAGAGAACAGAGAAGAGAGAAGTAAGAAGAGAGAAAAAGAAGAGAAGAGTGACAAGTTGGGTGACTTGTTCCTCGGGGTTTCAAGTTCGTAGAGGAACTTGAGTTTGAGTCTTTAGTTTGTAATAGGACCATTTTCCCTATTCTAGTGAAGATTCTTTTCCCAAAATCCCAAGTGGTCGTGGTTTTTCTCCTTGTTAGGGCCAAGGAGTTTTCCACGTAAAAATCTCTCTTGCATTGTTTAGTTCCTTTAGTTAATCTTTCAGTTCCTTTAGCTAACTTAATCTTAATTTCGCAAAAAGTTAGGCTAAAGCCTCATACTACAATTCAACCCCCCCTTCTTGTAGTATTCATTGAAACAACAATTGGTATCAGAGCCTAACTTCTAAGAAAATCAGGAAACCCTGAAGAAGAAAGGTCTTGGAGAAAATGAATACTCATGAAAAGCTCGAGGAAGGATACTCAACTCAGAGGCCTCCTATGTTCAACGGCAAGTTCTATACCTACTGGAAGAACCGCATAGAGATCTTTATCAAGGCAGAGAACTACCAAGTCTGGAGGGTCATCGAGGTTGGTGATTTCGAAGTTACCAAAACAAATGCTCAGAATGAGGTAATCCCTAAGCCTATGTCTGAATATGAAAAAGAGGACTTTGATAAAATGGAAATAAATGTTATGGCTGTGAAATTGCTCCACTGTGGACTTGGATCTCACGAACACAATCGTGTCATGGGGTGCAAGAACGCTAAGGAAATCTGGGATTTGCTATAGATTACTCATGAAGGAACTTATGAGGTTAAACGCTCAAAAATCGATCTACTTATGTCTAAGTATGAAAGATTTGAAATGCAACCTAAGGAAACCATTCAAGAGATGCTAACACGTTTTACTAACATCATAAATGAGTTGGTTTCCCTCGGTAGGCAGATTCCTACAGATGAGCAGGTTAGGAAGGTTCTTAAAAGTCTTCCACAAGATGAGAGATGGAGAGCTAAGGTGACAGCCCTTCAGGAAACGAAGGACTTTACAAAGTTCAATATTGAACAACTAGCAGGTTATCTCATGACTCATGAGCTACATCTTGGAGTCAAAAATGAACCCATGAGGAACAAGGGATGGGCTCTTAAGGCTGAAGAGGAGGAAGACTCAGAAGTGGACGAGGATGAGGCTGCCCTGATTGTGAGAAGATTCAAGAAGATGTTCAAGAAAGGCCGAACCTCAAGGAACTTCGGGAAAAAGACCTCAAATTCAAAACCTGACTACAGCTGCCACAAGTGTGGATCCCCAGATCACTTTATCAGAGACTGTCCCCTTTGGGAAAATGATAAAGGAAAAGGAAAGGCTAAGGAACAGGGAAAAGAAAAAGAAAAAATCAACATGAGGAAGGCCATGATAGCAGCCTGGGGAGATTCAGACAATGAAGAAGAAGAAGATGACCAACCAGAAGAGGAGACGGCCAATCTTTGTCTGATGGCCAAATCAGATGATGAAAAGGCTTACGACCTTGAGGAACTCCAGAAAGAGGTATTTCTTGATCCTAAATAGCTTAAAACTCTCTCTAAAGATGTCTTGATAGATATATGTCTAGAAGAAGAAGAATTCATTAGAGATACATGTGTGAAGTTGAATAAATGTGAAAAAGCTCTTAAGGTTTGCAAAGAACATGGTGCTTGGTTAGAAACAACCTATGCCAAGTCTTAAAGCAAACTAAGAGAACTTGATTTTAAATACAAGCACATAACTGAGATAGCTGATAGAATTAAGAATGAAAGTATTCTTCTGAATGTTGAACTAACTCAGTATAAGCTCATAAATTCTGATATCAATTCTAGCAGCTCCTCAAGCGATCAGTTGCTAAAATTCAATGTTGATTTTGAAAATTTGAAAAATGAGCTTTCTACTTTAAAAACCCAAAAGGATCAACTTGAATCGGAACTGAATGCTAGAAAGGATAGAAGTATTGACCCAAAAGTCATACCTAAGTGGATAGCTGAAGCTCAAGGAAAAAGAACTGAAGGCCTTGGTTATATAACCAAGAGGAAAGGTAAGCAAAAGAAATATGTTGAGCTTCCTAGCATGAAGTTATGTACTTTTTATGGTAAGACTGGACATCTCTATGGACAGTGTAGAATAAGAGAAGAAGCTGGTAAAAGAAATGTAAAACAAGTGTGGGTCAAGAAAACTGATATTGCATCCACGTCTAAGGAACCCAAGGAAACCTGGGTTCCTGATCCTAATGCTTAGTTTTCTTGCATGTCCTAGTGAGGGGGAACAACTCGTGGTATCTCAACAGCGGTTGTTCAAAGCATATGACAGGTGATAAATCAAGATTCCTCTCACTAGAAGACTACCCTGGAGGAACAGTAACCTTTGGGGAAAATAAGAAGGGTGAGATCATTGGAAAAGGCAAAATTGGAAGATCAAAATCTCATTCCATTGATAATGTGTTCCTGGTCGAGGGCTTAATGCACAATTTGCTCATTATATCACAATTCTGTGATAAAGGAAACTCTGTAAGTTTTACTTCTGATTCTTGCAAAATCATCAACAACAAGTCAAGAAAGGTTGTTCTAGAAGGAACAAAAAGAGGGAACACTTATACAGCTGACCTCAACTTAATCCCAAGGAACAACCTTACATGTCTGAGTGTTGTTGAAGATGATCCCCTGCTATGGCATAAACGTTTTGGACATGCTAGCTTTTCATTACTGGACAAGCTGAGGTCAAGGAACTTGGTTGTGGGACTTCCTATTATCAAGTTCCTACAGAACAAAGTTTGTGATGCATGTGTGAAAGGCAAGCATGTTCATTCATCTTTTAAATTAAAGAAAATGGTAAGCACTACAAAGCCTTTGGAATTAATCCATATGGATTTGTGTGGTCCCATGAGAATTCAAAGCAGGAGTGGCAAGAAGTATGTGTTGGTTATTGTTGATGATTATTCTAGATTCACTTGGGTTATTTTTCTTGCTAGTAAAGATGAAACTTTTAACGAGTTTGTTGCTTTTGCCAAAAAAATACAGAAAATCAGTGGTCACTCCATAGTCCATCTCAGATCAGATCACAGAACTGAATTTGAGAACTCAAGATTCAATGAGTTTTGCAGGGAAAATGGCATGAATCATAACTTCTCAGCTCCAAGGACTCCCGAACAGAATGGAGTTGTAAAAAGGAAGAATCGAACCCTTGAGGAAATGGCTAGAACGATGTTGATTGCAAGTGGATTGCCAAGGAACTTCTGGGCTGAAGCCGTGAATACAGCATGTTACATCCTCAACATGGTAACAATCAGAAGTATCATCAACAAGACTCTCTATGAACTATTCAGGGGAAGGAAGCCCAACATATCTCATCTTAGAGCCTTTAGTTGTAAGTGCTTTGTACATAATAATGGTAACAAAAACCTAGGGAAATTTGATGAAAGAAGTGAAGAGGCTATATTTCTAGGATATGCCTTTGATAGCAAAGCTTATAGAGTTTACAATAAAAGCTCAATGTGTGTTGAGGAAAGCATTCATATAATCTTTTATGAAGTTAACCAGTTTGTGAGTGTACAGGAACAAGAAGATGATAATGATTTTGAAATTGGATTAATAAGAGACAGGGATGAAGAAGAGACTCAAAAGCAAACCAAGGAAAAGCAGCCTGCTCCAGAAGAGGATCATCAAGAAAATGAAGAAGTTCCTCAACCCGATGAACAGGTAAATGAGGAACAAGCAGAAGAAGTAGGAGGAACAGAAACAGAAGCTCCTCAAATTGGAGTTCCAGCAAGGGAATTTCAACCAGTTCATTCAAGTATCAAGGTTCCCATCCAACTGATCTCATAAATGCTTAATGATTTTGATGATGACACAACCTCACTTACTTAAAAACTAATAAATGCTTAATTGTTTAAGTGTGTACTCAGTTACAAAGACCTGGAGAATAAAGTGTCTTATAAAGATATCATGAGGAACAAGAAGGCCAGAAGCAGAGCTATCCATAAAGAAGAGTTCCCTCACAGGAACTAGCGCTTCAGAAATGAAGACTGGAGAAGAGAAGGTTCCCTCAGGGAACAGAAGCTCCAGAGAAGAAGCCTCATCAGAGAAGAGAAGTTCCTCCTAAGGAACAGAAGCCTCGGAGTAGAAGCTTCATCAGAGACATGAAGACTAAAATATATTTTATATTTTAGGATTTGTGTAAGTATAAGAAGTTAATTATACTCAAAAATTCTGTGTGAAATTAGTCTTAAAAGATAAAACTATGCATGCTAGAAATTAGGAAATTGGTTAAGTTGTTAAATGATTATCTTTTCTTAACTTAAAGATTTTATTTATTTTCTGATTTTCGAAAATATCTAGTGTAGAAAGATTTTTTTTTTTCTTATTTTCGAAAATATCTTTAAAATCTCCATGTTTCCCAAAACTTGCGGCCTACTCTCCCATGTTCTTCTTCAGTCATGGCTTTGCATATTGAGGAGTTCATGGTTCCTTAATTCAAGGGACATGTTCTTCTTAGTGGGTATGAGTAGTGGCGTAATGGATTTGCTGCACAATATGGTTTTTCCAATATGTTTATTGCTCTATAAATAGTCTTTGAAATCTAATGGAAAAACTTACCCTTGCTCACATAAGTTTTCAAGCTTCAAATCGAGTCAAGTGACAATTCCACACAAGTTCATTTGAGTGTTCTTAATGTTCTTATACTAGAGTTTGTTTATTTTTCGAGTTGTAATTTGGGGAATGGGGAAGTTCGAGTGAACGTTTGTGTATGAGAAAGAGAAGTGAGAAAGAGAAGAGAGAACAGAGAAGAGAGAAGAGAGAACAGAGAAGAGAGAAGTGAGAAGAGAGAAAGAGAAGAGAAGAGTGACAAGTTGGGTGACTTGTTCCTCGGGGTTTCAAGTTCGTAGAGGAATTTGAGTTTGAGTCTTTAGTTTGTAATAGGACCATTTGCCCTATTCTAGTGAAGATTCTTTTCCCAAAATCCCAGGTGGTCGTGGTTTTTCTCCTTGTTAGGGCCAAGGAGTTTTCCACGTAAAAATCTCTCTTGCATTCTTTAGTTCCTTTAGTTAATCTTTCAGTTCCTTTAGCTAACTTAATCTTAATTTCGCAAAAAGTTAGGCTAAAGCCTCATACTACAATTCAACCCCCCATCTTGTAGTATTCATTGAAACAATACTATTACTAATACTAGCTAATTTGTGAGCTATAACATTGCCCGATCGTTTAATGAAAGAAATTTTAAATTATATTTGTGTAAAATTAATTTTAGATAGAGTGTTTTTTTTTTTAATCTGAATTTTTTTTTTATTCAAATGTAATATTTTGAAATGATCTGACATAAAATTATTGGTAAGGTAAAACTCAACTCATAATTATGTTTTACCTTTTAAATTATAAGTATCTCATTCTTTATATATTTCAGTGATATATTCTTTTATAAATTCATAATTTATTTTATAATTATTTGATATGTTCTTTCCGCTTTAATTTGGGTATACCATGCACATAGTACACCCGGGTGTACAAACCACCAATTGGTCTAGATAAAGTTACTCTTAATAGTCTCAAATGACACACGGTGTCTCCAATGTCGTCTCCAATAATCTCCTTCAAGTGATGTGCTAATATCTCAATCAAATATAGTCATACTCATAATAAGTCTTTTTCATTTTAATTAAATTCCATAAACCTACTTCAACTAGTCAAAGTCATATATACCTTATTTAAACTACACAACTACTTATATACGTTATTAATAAGCTAGATTCACATCAAATTCCCTCTTCTCATATGATACCTCCCAAACTCTTGGGTCTTTGAAAAGCCAACTTTGTTTCATCTTTACAAAGTCATGGTAGACAACACAACCATAGTCCCAATAGCATACATTAACAACTCAACCTCGGTACCACCATGGCTGAACAAAGGCGACAACGCATGGCAAATGATCGCGGCCACCCTAGTCGGTCTCCAAAGCGTACCGGGCCTAGTAATCCTCTACGGAAGCATAGTAAAAAAGAAATGGGCAGTCAACTCCGCCTTCATGGCACTCTACGCCTTTGCAGCCGTAATAATATGTTGGGTCACATGGGCATACAAGATGTCCTTTGGTAAACAACTTCTTCCATTTTGGGGTACAGCCGGTCCTGCTCTAGGGCAGGACTTCCTCCTAAGCCAATCCGAAATACCGGAATCAGTCCATCGGAATCATAAGCTCCTCAAGCAGATGTATCCGATGGCGGCCATGGTGTGGTACCAAGGGATGTTTGCAGCTATCACTATGATATTGCTAGCAGGGTCATTATTGGGTCGGATGAATATAAGGGCGTGGATGATGTTTGTGCCGCTTTGGTTGACGTTTTCGTATACGGTGGGTGCGTTCAGCTTGTGGGGTGGAGGGTTCTTGTTTCGTTGGGGTGTATTGGATTACTCCGGTGGTTATGTTATCCATGTTTCTTCTGGTATTGCTGGCTTGACTGCTGCTTATTGGGTAACCATTTTTTCTCCTCCTCTCAATTTCATTGATTTTAATCATTATTTTTCTTGTACATTATTATGTCGTCATACATGCATGACTTTATTTGACAATATTGTTGTGGGTTTTAGGGGATAAGTTATTATTTGATCATTTTTATACAGAATACCGTTTTTTTTCTTGGCGAAAAATAATTGCTATTACGAAGTACAAACTTTAGAAGAAGTAAATACAGAGTAACACATTATAGAAGCGTCACAAACCGTTTATTCGATTCATTTTGTTTGCAATACTCGGTGTCTTGGTCATATTTCTATATAATACACCTTACATTTGTCCAGGGCTTTTTTTTTTAATGGAAGAATCTTGAGTTGACTAGTTGAGAATCTTAGGTGGATAAAATGATTGAAAATTAAAATACACCTCTGTATTTAATTTGGTCAATTAAGCAATTACTTAGTAGATTCCAAAAATCAAAAAAATTATATTATACTTTGTGTATATATGTCAAGGGCATTGCGACGAACGCCCCCGGGTCATTGGATACGCATTTAAAATATTACCTTTTCTTTAAGATATTTAAAATATTACTTAAAGTGGTATTAATTTGGGAAAACATAACAAAATCACGGGTTGATCGGAGTAATTAATGTTAATTTTTTATTTAATCCTTCTACTTTTAGCTAGATTATTCAACGCCCTCGGGGTGTTCATTAGCTTTGGCCATATATCAATATATACCTGGACTTATTATATTATAAACTTAAATATAAATGTACAGAATTTTATATTAAAAGAACATATTAACAAAGACAGAAGGATTAATTAATGAGCTAGCAATATCATTCCTTTCGTTGTCAATGATTGTTTTATTTATATTTTCATTTTAAATTATATTTGATTTAGATTGTAAAATCATTGAACATTTGATTTTATATAGATTTGATTATATAATGTTTATGTTAGTCACTACAAGTGTAGAGCTGGAACATGTACATCATTGACTTGTAGTTGGTATTAATTAAAGTAAGGAGGCTTTAAATATCTTGCCTTTCGATTGGTTTATTTTTTTTGTTAGTACTCTATTAATTAGACTAGGCATGACCATCACCTAACTACAAACTATCGTTCCTCTATTATTCCTTATGTAGGATAAACATTAGACAATAGATTCACAAAATGTTTATGCAAATTTTAGAACATAATTTAATATAATTAATGGACATGCATAGTACAGTTAATACTCCATATGTCATTGTCGATTCTTCTAATTTAAAGAAAGTTATCATCGTACTGTATTCATCAAAAAACCTAATAAGGTGTTAATGCACAAATATACTATGAGTGCCCTACATCAATTTTAGTTTGCGAGGCAAGTTGCTCAACAAATTTTACCCAGTACAAATGATGTTAACGACGGCATACTTGTTAATATGCAACTTTGACTAATAAACTCTTTAATTATTTATATGTATAAAATATTGAAATTTGAAGTGTATACATTAAGACGATTCTATGAAGTACTAATCGTAGTATATGACTGTGTTTATTATTAATAATGTAGATAGAGATTAATAGAGTGCATGTAAATAGTGTATAATTTGAAGTAAAAAATTTATTTAGAAACGGAAGGAATAATTACATACATACTCTATATAAAAGCAACTTAGCATAAAACTTGTTCCCCTAGCAATGGTTCTTGATTTTTAAGTATTAGACAATAGAAATTTGTTTAAACTAGATTCTTATTTTGTTTGCATACTGATAGTTATGGCCGCCTTGATTGACTAAATTAATATAATTGGTAAAACATTAGTTGTACAAGGAAAATATTCCCATTGCATCCTAAACAATTGCATGACCCTTTCATGACAATTTCCTATCAATTCCAAAATTTCTACTAGTCAGCTTGTTTTTCGTATTTTTTTTTATCTATTCTCTTTCTTTGATTAAAGATTTATAAATAATACTTCACTTTTAATATTCTAGAAGACGTGGAAGAGATAATTAGAATGAGAAGATTCATTACATAAAAAATTGGACAGAGAATTTTCTTTATTTAGAAAAATACAAATATATATCTTTTAAAAAAAAATGAAAAGACCAAGTCTATTATTGGAGTCTTGACTTCTTGAAAATTAAGAGTTATGCTTGATAAAATTAGTAATAATTTTGATGATCTGCGTCATCATTTGATAACCACAAATATTCAAGTAATACACTTTTAGAATTTTGTCTCCATCAATCAAAACTATATATGGAAATGATAAAAGTAGTGTTTGATAATTAGTTGGGTCTTTTAAGATACTTGTGTCCAAATATAAAGTTAGATCTTTATGAAATTAAAGTTAGAAATACTTGTTATAGATAGCTTTCGGACTTTAAGGAAAATGCTATACATACCCCTTAGGTCTATATATAACCATTAAATTTACACTTAAAAATCGTAAAAAATTTAAGGAATCATCAAAATATAAAAACACTAATTACACTGATTTACGCTTGTTTTTGTCATGAATTCCTAATTTTATTCAATTTTCAAGAGTGTATTTAATACATAGGGCTATATATAGCATTACCCTAACTTAAAATATAATTTCTGGCTAATGTATTGATTGTCAAAAACTATTAATTAGAGCTAAATGTTTTAACTTTATTGTAACATACATGAAATAACAATAACAATTTCGTCAAAGATATACTCTTGAAGTATTGAACACACTTAACCGTTTAAGGGTCTGTTCTCTTACGTTGAAATTCAGTTCAATTCAATTCTGTTCTGTTCAATTCAGCTCAGTTCAGTTCAATTCAGTTCAGTTCAGTTCAGTTCAGCTCAGTTTAGTTCAGTTCAGTTCAGTTCAGTTCAACTCAGCTCCTAATTTCGTTCTCTTATGAAATATTCATTTCACTTCAGTTCAGTTCAGCTTAGTTCAGTTCAGTTCAGTTCAGTTAAGCTCAATTCAGTTCAGTTCAGTTCAGTTAAGCTGAGTTCAGTCAATGAGAACAGACCCTAAATCTTACCCATGAGAGGTTAAGTTTGTTTCGTGTTGTAAGTAAGTTTGTTCGATGATTGTTAACTATTGTAGTAAATGTTAGCTGTGGGAATCTAACTGCTAACACACCAACCATAGAAAACAAAATAATAAAAGTAGTAAAAGAAGTACCAAGTATATTGAAGTATTAAATCTATTATTTCAATTTGAATTTCACAAAATCAATTATCAAAAGTGAAAATTATGCAAATTCTCTCTATTTTTCACTCTATCCAAAAGTAAAGATTTCCCTCTTTTTCCTACCACTCTTTTTTCTTCATAATTCATAATCGTGACAAAAGACAATATTGCAATAACAACTTGGAATCGAGAGAATGCGTGCATAAGTACATGCACTTCATCCTTATCACATTCTTCCAAATTATATGCTGTAACCAATTCAAATTATTTGGTGGCATAGATTGATAGATAGACAAATATTTTGAGTCAATCAATAGAGTCAATGATTGCATTGACTTGGTGACTTTTATCATAACTCAAATTTATAATTTCGATCATAAAATTTTGTTTATTTAGGTGACACACTATAATTATCTCATTCTTTACATCTCTAAAAGTTAGATGGAGTAGATGTTTGATAGTAAGACATTCAATTCACACACCAAGCATTTTGGCACCTTATTTTGTAAGACGAGCATGACTTAATAAGCATTAACAGTATATTAATACATCCACCATAATATCATTATCTAAGTTGAAAATAGCGTTTATTTTTGGAGCTTATATAGTGATATTATACGGAGAGAATAAAGATTTAAAAAAAAAATATACGGAGAGAATAAAGTGTTCATGTTTGAATAATGACAATTGACAAGTTGACAAATGACCAATTTGTCCTTGGCCTACCACAATTGACGACTGATGTTCATATATCGTTCATATTACATACTTCGTATATATGTCTATAAGCCAATATAGTTTAAGCCATGTTTCTACCCCTAGTTGGATTAACCTATTACAACCGTTTTATATTTTTTTCCAATTTTAAAATTTATAATATCTCATAAATAATACTCCGTACACCAAAGTTGTAAAAAATATAAAATGGAGATAGTATATTATTTCTAGCTCAAGACAAAACAAATTTGTACGGGATAATAGAACAAGAAAGCGAAATATCAAATCTAATTTTTAATATATACTACCATACATTGAAAAATATTTTGAATAAGAGCTCAATTTTGAGTTATGATGAACTAACTTGAAATACTTATAACATGATCAGTATTTGATTGTTCACATCCCTCCGTTCTTTTTTTATCTGCTCATTTTCCATTTTGATATGTTATTTTTATTCCTTTATTTGTTTTATCTTCTCAAATCTATTTTTTTTTTTACAAGCTCAAATCTAATTTTTAATATATACTACTTTTGTTTATTCCTTTATTTGTAAAGAAAATTTTCATTTTTCTCACTTCTAATCCCACCACATGCATGATCCACATAAAACTATATACCTAGAAAGTAAATCGGGATGCATGATCCATTTTATATGAGCATTGTTGAAAGATAAAAAGAAAATTAAAAAAAAAAAGAAGTACATCATATAAAAAAATAAAAACCCTAAATATGAAAATATGATCCGATTGAAATTGGACCTAATTCGGCTTTATGAATACGAATGATATATTCCGAAAGGAAATACGGATTACATTCAATTTGGCCAACCTTTCCATGTTATGTAGCTTGATGTCTTGTGTAGTTGTGTGTGATCTAAGTGAGTTGACAATGCATGCATGCGTCATCTAAATGGACACAATATACGTAAGATTGAGTGTAATTGGAAATTTTGTATGTAGGTGGGTCCAAGATTGAAGAAAGATAGAGAAAGGTTTCCTCCAAACAACGTATTATTGATGTTGGCAGGTGCAGGATTACTATGGTTAGGATGGTCAGGTTTTAATGGTGGAGGCACATTTAGTGCTAACATTGAATCTTCCTTGGCTATCATTAACACCAATGTTTGTGCTGCCACTAGCTTGCTCATGTGGACGTTACTTGATGTCCTCTATTTCAAAAAACCTTCCGTTATCGGAGCTGTTCAAGGCATGATGACTGGCCTCGTCTGCATTACTCCTGGTGCTGGTAATTTGTTACTCCCTTTGTTCCATATTACTTTAGATGCAACTAGTTTGACTTTAATTGTCAAACATGACAAACTTTGACCAAATTTAATGTGACATTTAGTTAGTGCTTAAATGGTTAAAAACGTGTTCATTTGTATATATGTATAGGTCTTGTCCAAGGATGGTCAGCAATTGTGATGGGCATATTATCAGGAAGCATACCATGGTTCACAATGATGATTGTCCACAAAAAATGGAAACCAATGCAAGCCATCGACGACACACTAGGAGTTTTCCACACACACGCGGTGGCTGGACTCCTAGGAGGTGTACTCACCGGCATCTTTGCCAACCCTAGACTAACAAGGGTGTTCTTAGGTGAGGAAGGCGTCTCCAAAGACAAACGAGGCGCAATCTATGGTGGTGGAGGAGGAGGAACCCAAGTACTTATGCAAATAGTAGGAGGGTTATTTGTCATAGGGTGGAACCTTGTGTCAACTTCTATAATTTGTGTGTTAATTAGATTGGTAATTCCACTAAGAATGTCCGAAGAAGAGTTGTTGATAGGAGATGATGCCGCGCATGGTGAAGAGGCGTATGCATTGTGGGGTGATGGGGAGAAGTATGACTCTACGGTGCATGCTCGTCAACTTGATGATTATGTGCCTAACACTAGGTCTATTGGTGCTACTCAAGTTGTATAATATAAGCTAAGCTACTATAATATTAGACGGACCAGGGAGTGGCCTGCAGCCCAGGCCACGACCCGCCCCATGATTCAAAAATTGTATAATACAATTAAGTTGCAACAATATTTGTTAGAGACAATTTGGCTGAGTTGGTTGCATCATTGTCTATGTCTTGTTTGGGACTTGATGAGACCAAAATCTAAATTTTAGATTTGAGTTGGAGTGTAACATAACTGAGCTTGGGTAACATGTTAGATTTCAAATGTGCGATGTGTGCTTCAATTCAAATTTGATGATAACCCTAATTTATTCATTTACGGGGATTTTTTTATTTTTTTTTTTATAATAAAAAACCTATATATTTTTTTGTCAAAATTAGTTGTTGTATATTGTGGTAGCTATTAATAAAATGTACTAGCTATCAATAAAATGTACTCAAAGTGATTTAGTTCTAGATTTACTTAAAAGGTTTGCTTTAAATAAATTAAAGTAGACAATAATTTTTCTAGAATTGATCATGCATGCTTGTGAAAGTCAAGCTATAAATACATTCACTGATAAATTAAAACCACTAGGGCTAGCTCATGAATCTAGTGCTTCAATTTACAGGTTCTTTTATTTTTCACAAGTTGACAAGTTGACGCTCATTCAGTGATGTAAAGCTGTCAAACAAATCGTCTCAAGTCATCGATCAAATTTGTATTATTTGTTGATAAAGCTGTCGAAACTCACTTGATTCATTAAATCAATTTTTATTAACTCTCTAAACTAATGCAACACGTAGAATTAAATGATTGGATGTATCGACCCAATGATCATGACTCATTACCTTCTTTGAAGTAAAGTTGTTAAGAAACTTTTAATAAACTAGCTAGATAAATTTGGTATTCCCAATTAGATTGGCAATTCCACTAACAACATGTTCTCTTCGGTTTAAATTCAGTTCAATTCAGTTCCAATCACCTTGATTCAGTTTCTAATTTCCTTCTCTTATAAAATATTTATTTCAACTCTATCCAGTTCAGTTCAGATCAGCTCTAATCAGCTCAATTTAGTTCAGCTCATTTCATAAATCAGAACATGCCTTAAGAATGTCCAATTGAAAGTAGATATTCAAAAGAAAATTAGAGACTAGTGTTTAATATCCACCTATCTTTTGAACGCATTAAATTTCACCTATCTTGACAACATTGTACAATTCTTTTAATGCATACAACAATGTAGCTGTACATACAAGGCATACAATAGTTTCAAGCTTAAATTACAAAATAAATATAAGGTGCTTGCCCACGTACGGCACGACACTTGAAGGTGAGAGCATTAGACCGCAGTACTCATCAGTCATCACTATCATTTTCCCATGATCGAGACTCGTGAAGTTGCATGATCATGACCTAAATGTTAAGAAATGTTAATCCATTCAATTATAAAATATTGAATTCAAAAGTGAACCGATCGGATTATGTATGTTGATGACCCTAACCAATATGGTATTGCCAAATTGATAACTCACTCAACATGAAACCAAACTAACCTCGAATATGTCATAACATACTAATGATATACCCTGTGTCCCTGTCCAAGTACAACTAACCTCAAATATTTCATAACACAATAATGATATACGGGAGTACAAGTATAGAACGTTGGTTATTTGGTAACTCTAAAATGAAAATACATTAAAAAAAATTTCATTTATTAAAAATAAGCTAAAAAACACACACAATACGTACTCGTGTAATATAAGAAACATATTAAGCTCGATCCTCCTTATCCTAATCAGGGGCGAAGCCAGGAATTAAACCTTGAGGGGGCCGAGGCTTATATAAAACAAAATATTTCAATACTTATATATTTTTTTCCTACTTTTTTCATAGCAAAAAAATTACTTTTGCACTATTATACATTAGCTTTGATCTAACCATAATTTTTACTAGTATTTAAATTACATTGTATTATTTTATATATAAAAAAAGTTGCTACATTAACGTTAAGAATTTCATGATTGCCATTATATACCATTAATATGTTACATCATATATTAATAAAAATTATAAAAAGTTGATTGCTTGAACGTAAATGTTGAGATAATTCCAACAAGATCTACAAAAGAGTATTAAAGGAGTATGCGAATGTGTAAAATTTGATACACGGATTATTTTAAAAAAAATAAGTAAGTAAATTAAATTGTATGATTAAACTAATATAATTTTAAATAAATCATATATTATAACTTTACCACTCATTTTTATAGATATCAAACGGTAAGATTCGTCAAAAATGTTGATAAGTAGCTTAAGTGCCAATGTATTAAAAAATAATTAAATAAAAATAAAAGAAAGAAAATATGTTGGATTAAAAGAAACAGGTAATACTAATTTTAATTTTGTAAAAAATTTGAAAGGATAAAGGTAGTATGGATCGATCCTAAGACCTATGTTTTTATTCCACAAGTAGACCTAACTACCACTGAGCTATAAGGCCTATAACATATTAGACAACATTTACACACAAATCTGAATATTTTAAGGGGGCCAACACTGTAAAAACAGAAGACCTGGTTGTTGGGCCACAGGGGCCGGGCCTCCACCAGCCCCCCCTGTGGCTCCGCCCTTGATTCTAATAATAATAGGGGAAAAAAATATAAATAATTAATGGATGTACATTCAAAATCTATCTATACTATATACTAAATTAATCAACGGAGGGACACTTGACATGATTTTATGAAACATTTTCCCCCAAAATGCAATATTTTTTCTCCGTTTTTTTTATAAAAAAAATTAAAGGATAGACATTATTAAATTCAAAAATAAAAAAAAGTTTTACGTAAGTCATTTAATTTCAATTGACTATTATTATATCATATTTTATAACTCCGTGTATTACACAGGGACAAAACTAGTCTGTTGATAAAAAAACGACAAATACCTCCTCTGTTTTCTTTTACTTGCAACACTTCCCTAAAAAGGAAATATCACATTACTTGCAACACACTATAAAAGGAAAGTTACTCTAGGGAAAAACCTATACTATTTCCCTTATTTAAAACACATGACCAACTAAATTACACTCCTAACAACCACTCAAGCTATTTTAAAGTTTATTATATCATGTCAATCCCATATTTCTTAATCACTGCGCTAAATGGTGGGTTGCATCTAAAAGAAAACGGAGGAAGTATAAGATTAAAAATTGTTGAGAAAGGGTAATTTGGAAAACTAAACTTTAGATTGATAGGCAAAAAACCAAATTTTAGATGGAGATGCGGGGGATCGAACCCCGTGCCTCTCGCATGCAAAGCGAGCGCTCTACCATTTGAGCTACATCCCCATTTTATTAATCCCATCACTACAACTATATTTAACCCTTAATCTATCTACTAATTGCTTGTCTACCTCATTCCCGCCTAAAAACAACAAAACCCCAGTCAAAGCAAAAACAACTCCATCAATGGCGGACGTAAGAGAATGGATAACCACCGACGAAACGGCGGAAACATACTATTCTAGGGTTTCAACCTCCCGTCCTCCGCTTCTTCTTCCGCCGCTTCACCGCCTTCCTCTTCGCCCCGGCAATGTCGTCGAAATCGTCGGCCCTTCTCCCTCCGCCAAAACTCACATCCTTCTTCAGGTCCTCTTTTCTCATTTTCCATCATTTTTCTCCCGAGTTTCAAATTTGTTGTTTAAAATTTTTACAATTGTATCATTGTTTTTTTTTAGGTTGCGATTGATTGTATTTTGCCCAAGGAGTGGAAAGGTGTGAGTTATGGAGGGCTTGAGAAATCGGTGATGTTTATTGATTTGGATTGTCGGCTTGATATTTTGCGTCTTCTTCAGCTTCTTAAACTCAGGATTTATAGTTTTCATCGTATGTTTTTTTTCTTGTTTAATTTTGATTGTTTTGGCGTTTTGAGTTGATTTTTGGAGTAAGATTTTGTGGGTTAATTAGTGTTGTTGCATTTGTATGCCGTTAATTGAAAAAAAGGGCAGAATTTTATATGAGACGGACTTACAATTTGATATTCGAAGTTGTTTATTATGAAGCCGAGATGATATTTCTGTTTTTAGGGCTTACTTGGATTGGGGATAAGTTTTATCCATCATCTTCCTAGGATAATGTATAATTCCCCCTTTCATCGTTTCTCGTTGTGGTATCGCTTCATCATCCCTTCCATTGCCACCTAAACTTATCTTCGTTTCCTCAATCCAAGCATGTCCTAAAGAGTGACTTGATTTCTTACTATGTTAGACACACTTAAGTGTCAATATCAGTTTTCAATCACATCCATGGACATTGGTTTAAGCATATATGAGAATAGAATGGTTATAGAGGACAAAGATTTAGGTAATAGCCTAAGGATTGGTATTTACAAGACTTACCTATTTTGTTTCTAATTACTGTACAATTGACACTTTAGAAGTTGCCTTTTTCTTTTTTTGAAGTAGAGGGAGTATTTAGAATTGATGACTTCTAATTTGAGGCATTAGATGCTTAACTTTAATACTAAATATATTGTTCTTGTGTAAATGTGCCATTATAAGTTTTGCTGATTGTTTATAGGGATCCTTTTCTGCTCTTTTGTTAATGCGTTATGGGTGAAGGTCTTGGAAAGGGGAGGCATTTAAAGTTGTAAACTGCTTTATCGAATTGTATACATTACTATGAAAAGCCTCATGGCTAATTTTGGATTCTTCCACCCCCGACTTTTCTTTCCTTAAACAAAGTCTTATGGAATGATAGAGATGATATGAGGCCATTATGAATGTGCTTTTGTGACTACACATCATGACAGCCAAATGTCTAGCATGAGCCATGAGCCCATCAGCCCATGATGCTCGGACCATTTGAGAATTGAGATCAACTGATGGAGGTCTGGGCTTTCGTTGATTTTTAGTTGGGTGCTGGATATAATTTTTAAAATTTGGCACTCTTTAATAATGTTGCCTGACCACCAGAATATTCTGCATCTAAATTTATTGGTCAAAGGTGACCTCAGTGTATGATATTGTAAACTATGTTAGGCTACTGAGTTGCTGAAATTTTTCTTTGACTTTGTTGAGAATGATGTACAGAAGTGAATAACGAGCTACACTCTGTCAGAGATTGGACCTGTGATGAGGAACTAATTCACAACTGTTTGGAGCGCTTCCTATATGTTCGTTGTTATGATAGTTTAGAGTTTCTTGCTACGCTGAAGGTGATGAATGTTAATCTCTTCAAGTGTCAGTAGCTAGATCTGCTTTAGAATGGCCATTTTGACTAGACAAATATGAAGATTAGCTAATAATATTTTGTTATCAATTACCTGAGTAATATGCTGAAACTGAAAAACTATATATCAATTAACAGCTGCGTCAGCTATTATTATCTTTTATCTGTTATTATTGAATTTATATTGATCTTGGAAGATTGGAATCATCATCTGATCAACTTCTGCATATGTTATTTCATTTTAGTTTTTCATTATATATAATTGTTAGTTCATATTAATTGGCATGCCTTATCATCTGATCTTTAGACATTGAGTTTAGTTCTTTTTATTGCCTTGTAGACATTAAATTATCAACTTCAGACCAAAAGGAAGAAGCTTGCTTCAAAAGTCTGCTTCTTGATGATTGACAGGTTTGCCTAAGATTGTAACTGAAATTGTAGTCCTGCTTCTTTTGAATTGATAGTAGTTTCCTATGTTTGCATTTCTTTTTATTAATGTGAGTACAATTATTGTCAATATTACTTATATATGTATATCACTATGTAGTTTTAAATTGTTGGTTATTTTATCTCTTGTAATATTGAAGTTGGATCTTTCTACTCAAGTTGAAAAGATAAAACAAACGAAGTAAAATCAATAGTCGGCATATATTTTAAATTAGGATGTCTACAGGAATTAGTATTTTTTGTCCATATTTAATTAGTGGGAGGGTTGATTTATTTTTCTGAATTAATGATTAAATCAAGAGATAGTGAGCTGAACTTGCAACTCTTTATGGTTATTATTTAGTCCACATTAGCAAAAACTTAAGACAATAATTTGAGATCTCATGCTAAGCCTACGTTCATAGTTCTTTTGAATTGGAAGAGTAGTATCACAATGAAATTTCTTTGATAAAATGCTCAGGCTCTATTTTTTGTCAGTATAGGAGCTTACTATTGGGTTGACCGTGCTTCAACATCCATGCCTCTTGGGTCAAACAATAGGTACCTTCTTTCCCAAGTTATAAGTGTATTTTTGCCTTTTTGTTAATTTTCTCTTTTGATGTTCTGTGCTGAGTCATGTCTGCTGTTTTTGAACTTTCATGGTTATACTTTGAATGTTCCATGTTTCTTTTTCTCTTCTCCAAACATTTTTATTTCGCACATTTGAGAGAAGAATAAATTTTTGGAGCTGAGATCTACCTGATAAGTTTGTTGCTATCCCTAAGAACCTTTTGTTATCTTAAGCTGTAAAGCTTTCTTCTCTTTCTACACTGCCTGGAGGTGGTAGAGTGGTTTTGAGGTTTTCAAATTGTAGGGGAAGTAAGTGATGCATTGTTGATCTTATTGTCATTGTTTTGAATTCAAGTATATGACTGGAATTAGAGCAACTGATGTTGGTGATTTTAGATTTACACATGACCACTTTCAAAGTGTTTATAATCTTAATATAACAGTTATGCGGTTATGTCACTTAGGTACTTTATGTCAGCATGTTGAAGAGAGTTTCCATCTCTGTCTTTCATTTTTCCTGCTGCAAATGTGTCAGTCATATTGATCCTGTCAACTGTGATTCATAAGAAGTATTTAGAAACCATAACTACTTTATCAAAAAATTTCAGGAAATTATTCTCTCTTCAAAGTGTGATGGAAGCTGTAGTCTGTGAGATGAAAAATTGTCTGCAGGTGCAACCAATGCTTGTTTTGGCTACAAAAGCTACAATATTTGGTGATAAGTCAGTAACCAATGACATCAAAAGGTAATATGTACTCTGAATTGCAGCTGTTAATGAAATCCTTGTTGTTTAGAATTGGATAACTATTTCCACTCTAAGCAATAAAAATTTTCCATTTAAGATTTTAAGCAAGACACGAAGTGTTATGTTTAGCTGAAGGAATAAATCAATAAAATTCATTAAACCTTCATCGATTAGGCCCAAACTCATTAATGCACCATAGTCTGTTGTCACTTGTCTTCTCCTGAAAGCATTTAGATGAGAGTAACAATAATTATTTTTCTTTAGGTCCATAATTTATGTTCTTATAGAATCAGATAAACATAAATTACAGAAGGATACAATATTTTACAAAATGATGTACTACTAAGCCTTTGTTTCCTACTAGTTGCAGTTTGCAACATACCATCTTGGCAAGCATTTTAAGAAGTTAAACTTTTCTAAATGCTCCTTAAAATTTAAATATTAAGTTAAAACCTATAAACCCAACTCTTTCCTCTAACTGGCGTTTAAGTTATTCAATCAAGTTGTTCGTTGGCTTTATTCAATCTGTTCTTTAAACTGCATAGTGCATTCCCAAAGGTTTGTGTTGCATGTATAAAGAAACAAAGGATCATGATGATTATAATGATAATTTTAAATTTCCAGTAGACCAAACTTTAAATAAAGAGACCAAATCACACCAGACTTAAATATATATAGACCAGATTCCCTTTTTTTTTTTTTTTTTTTTTTTTTTGAGGTGAATGGAACGTTATCACTAATAATATATTTTCACTGCCAAGGTAATTGTCCTTGGGTAAGCAATCTTTAAAGAGTACTACTTATTATTTATACATGATTTCTTATACAATTTTGTTTACTGTACTTGCTGTTAGTAAAATTCAAAATCATTTTGGTATATAATGGATTAAAAGTCTGGTGACTGTATGCAATCTCAACGTAAGTGATAAGTACCTTAGCTCGGTTTTAGTTGCCATTTGAACAGGCCTTTCAGAAAGTGGTCTTCACAAGATGCATCTGGTCAACACACTATAGAAAGCAGTTCTGAGAATGTATTGCACCGTGAATATATGCCTTCGGCCTGGCAGGTAAATTATTTGTATAATAAAATATGCAGATGTGCTGATGCTTAGAGTTTTCTTGTTGTTCCTTTTTCTTTTCGTAATATTATATACGGATTTTTCACCAAATACCACTGAGTTTAAACTTAATTCACCGTATACCACCAAAAACTTTGTAATACACCTTGTACCACTCAGTTACTGTACATTAACACGAAATGCCTTTTTCCTTAACTGCCGTTAGTCTGCCATTTGAGGGAATTTACCAATTCACCATATACCACTACTGTTAAAAATTATTTCACCATATACCATTATTTAAAAGTTATTTCACTACTTACCAATTTTTTTGTAACGGTAATATTTTTAAAAAAAATAACCCTTGCACACTTGTAACAGCTACTTTGTTTATATAAATGTAGTGTTTGAGGGAGATACTAAATCAAGTCACACTTCTAAAAGCTAGAGTAAAAATGTAAACAAACTTTGTTTATATAAATTGGTAGATGTTTGTCTTCAAAAAATTTAGGGCTACATGATTTTGCAATGGTTGTAATAAACAAGTTTGTTGCATAACAACTAAGTGGTTAGCATTTTGTCCAAAAAAACCTGACACTAGTTTGAAATGTTTTCCCCAAAAAATTATACATAATATGGCAGCTTCAAGGATTCTAACTGTCAGCCTTTCTCTTCCTCCCTCTTCCTTTGCCTTGCTGCGAACTGGATGCTGCATTTTCTGCTTGTTTTGCTGCTTCCTTTCTTGCCTTACAGGTTTTTGCATTGTGTCCCAACTCCTTGCAAAGACTGTACTTGTTGTTCTTGTGCCTCTTTCCTTTTCTTGCTTCATGAGATGCTCTCCTTCTCTGCTTAGCTGGTCTCTTAGCTGGTCTGCCTGCAGCTCTTTTGACAGTTGGTGGTGCTATTTCAGGCACATCAAATGCTGGCCAGTGACTTGGATCTGACATGGGATGGATGTGGTCTCCATAAGTCAGCTTGTAAGCAGCTCCCTTGAAGTATGGTGACACATAATCTGCAGCTTGAAGTCTTTGGCTGTATATGACCCTTAGACCATGTCTGCATGGTATTCCTGACCCTTGCCACTTCCCACAACCACAGGTCATTGTCTCACAGGGAACTTCACATGCCCATCCCTGACCTCAAACTCTCCACCACCAGCTACTGTCACATGACACAATCTGGACTCCTCACTTCTTGTCTCCAAAACTCCCTTAGCAAACTCTGTTAGCTCATTAGGATCCATATCAATTGCTTTGTCAAACCTAGAACCCATCCTTTTCATGCACCAATTCCTTACAGCTGGTTTAAGTCCAAAAAAAAAAAAAAAAGGAAAAAAAAACAAAACCAACACAAAGAAATCACAAACCATCAGAACATGGTTCTTACTGTTTAATCACAAAGAAATTAAGGGGTCAAATGTTACCTTCCATTAAAGTCAGGACAGGCAAATCTCTGTTGTCCTTTGTACATGAGTTGAATGACTCGACAAAGTTTGTTGTGTTATGATCACAACAAACTGTTCTGTCAAACATGTACCTACTCCATTGCTCTTCAGTAAGGTAATCAAATGCTGCTGCATCATATTTCTTGATCTTTGACATTGCCTTGTCATACACATATGCATTGTATGCATTGCCTGCAATCCAAAAGAGTTTATGAAACTCTGTCCCACTCCACCCACCTTTTTTGCAGTTAGAGTACACATGCTGACAGCAGACCCTCCTAGTTGCTCTTGGGAATACCTCAAAAAGGGCTGATTCAACACCCTTCAACATACAAACACAAAGTTAGGTACTGAAAATTAACAAAAGAAAGACAAAGTTTAATTATTTTAAAAAGCAAGAAACTAACCCTCATCCTGTCACTTATAAAAGTCCAGTCATCCCTTTCAGATCCATATTGTGCAAATAAGATCCTTAGGTTTCTGAAAAAGTAAGTCCAGCTGTCTATACTCTCAGACCATAAACTATCACAAAAATCTCATTATTGCCATCAATGGACACTGTGCAAATAAGATCCTTAGGTTTCTGAAAAAGTAAGTCCAGCTGTCTATACTCTCTGTATCAACCAGACCATAAGCTATCACAAAAATCTCATTATTGCCATCAATGGACACTGCAGTGAGCATGACTCCTTTGTAATAGCCACTGAGGTGGGCACCATCAATCCCTATAATGGGTCTGCAGCCACCCAAGAACCCTTTCACCTGAGCTGCAAAAGAGATGAAACATGCCTTGAACTTTTCACCATTGCCCCCACTGTCAGTCCAAGTAATGAGAGCATATGAGCCAGGATTGGTGGCCTTTATTATCTCAGCATATTTTGGTAACAGAGCATAGGACTGGGCAAAACCACCATGAATTTGTTCCCTGGCCAAACACTTCACTTTGTAAAACAGCCTGGACTTTACTTGGATCCTAAACCTCTCCAGGCACATCATTTGTAGTGCATCAACAGGGATATCTGGGTTTGCTTCCAGATCTGGCCTCAAATGTCTACAAAGCCATGCTGAAGACACCATAGGATTCTCTTCCAGCCTCCCACAAGTTTTATGTTCCCCTTCCAGTATCTTTATCTTTATTGCCCAGCTGACCATGAATCCTCCAATTGCAATCATTGATCAGACACCTTGCAGTATATCTATGATTGTCAGCATAGTCTATTGTCACAGCAAAGCCTTCTTGTATGCAAAAATCTCTGAAGACATCATGAAATTGTTCCCTGGTTTCAAATATTAACCAAGGTTCAAGTTGAATTGACCCAAATGGTAAGTTAGACCAGACCTTGCCATTTTTGTACAGCTTGTCTAAAACATGAGTCCCATCCAGGTAGTCTTCAAAAGTCTTCTCTTGTATATTATCAGCTAGGTCTTCTTCTTCCACAATATACTCATCATCAAGGTTCAATTCCATATCCAAATCATAGTCATCATCTTCACTATCCTCAGAAGGCCATGGATCAGATTCACCATCACTGTCCTCAACTTGCACAGGTTTTTCGCTCCTTGTATTCACTTCCCTCCCTACTCTTTTATTCTTCACAACCTCAACACCATACTTTTCATACTTTTTTGCTGTGCTTCTTGGCACCCTCCACTCTTTTGGTTTAACTCTAGATTGCACTTTAGGCTTGGCAACAGAACTAGAAGCAGCAGTAGGTTGGGGTGGTGGGGGTGGTGGTGGTGGGGGTGGTGTAGGCTCCCTGGCTTGGGGTGGTGATTCATGCATGTGTGGGTTATTTGGGGAAGCATGGTGTGTTGGTGTTGCTGGTGGAGAAGGGTGCTGACTTGGTGGTGGAGATGTAGGCTGACTTGGTTGAGTTGACTGCTTAGGTTGGGTTTTTTTCTTCCTTGGAGTTACTTTTTTCCTTCTACGAGATTTTTTGGGTGGTGATGGTGTCTTACTTTTTTCATTTGAGGGTTGAGATGGTTCATTTTGTGAAGGTTGAGGTTGAGAAATGACTCTCATCAGCTGCTGCAGTGTGGAATACCCTAACATATTCAGTCTTATCTTCTTCTGCATTCACAACAGGGACCTCTACAGCAACAGTAAATGGTTCTTGAGCATTAAGCTCCTCCTCAACTTCTTCAGCCTCTGATTTCTCCTTCTCTCTTCCTCCTTCTGCCTAATTTTGTCAGCCCTCGTCTTCAAATTTCTTGCCCAACTAGTTTCTGCAGACTTGAAGACAACATATGGGTTTTCTGTCTCTTCTATGAACACTTCTATTTCACCCTTCCCTTCATTCAACTCCCACATTTTCAACATTGCCCCATCATCAACTAACTCTAGCTTACGATTAGTTCTAGGTTTACTCACAAACAAAGTGAAGTACTTAGGGAGGAAAACATTCTGCTTTACTGAATCCTCAAACATATACTCAAACAACTCCATCAAATTGGTCTTATCAGTGTCATCCACCCTAACATCAAAACTACCACCTGGCGAACGAACTAATAGCCACAATGCACTCATCCTAACAATGAATAATAAGCAACAACAATTAACATCACATCACCAGTTAACATCAAACTTAATCTAATCACCAGTTAACAACTTCCAAACTAATCATTCGAAGTTAATAGCATAACATCCAAACTAACATAATCATTTTCGAATAAACCCTAACCCTAACTCAATTTCGCAAAAAACAACAAAATCAGAGCTCGAAAATCAAATCAATGAGAAGAATATTACCTTTAGAAAGCTTAACTCAACACAGGTGAGAATTTCGAGCGAAATTCAGTCACGAACAACTTCCTCTCTCAAACCGCTCCAAACAGGTTCCGTGTTCAATCGAAAAGCCCTAATTATCGTCCTACTAGCAACGTCTACTTTAGATCGAAGAAAGTTTACAGCTTTTGGATTGATTTTTGAGGATCAACTTCAATGGTGAAGAACAGAGAGAAGCTTCAATGGAAAGGGAAAATGGGGGGTCAATTTTTTTGAATTACAAGTGTGATGTTTGGGGGAGTCAACCCTATTGATGGCGCCAGTTTTATGTATAAGGGCAAATTGGTAAATTCCCTCAAACGGCAGACTAACGGCAGTTAAGGAAAAAGGCATTTCGTGTTAATGTACAGTAACTGAGTGGTACAAGGTGTATTACAAAGTTTTTGGTGGTATACGGTGAATTAAGTTTAAACTCAGTGGTATTTGGTGAAAAATCCGTATTATATATTCCATTTTGGGTAATAAGATATGTATTTGCTATGCACTATGAGCTTTGAATCTGTCTTTCATGATCAGCTTTACCAAAGGAGATGAATTTGAGGATAGTTCCATTTGGTGAATGGCTTAAACCTAGTTTAACTTGAATTAGTATCAACATGATCAGATGCCATTTGGGTTATCTTGAAGGGGCTTCACTAAATGGCCAATCTCAGAGTTACTGTATTTTTAGTTGGCACACTTATGGCCTGTTCAGTACATAACATTGTCTGCGTAGAAAGAAATGAGGTGCTCACTCTCTTATGTATGACCTATGGTGTTCATGTTAAAAACAAAAATCAGGTTATTATTGTTTGTACATTTGTTTACATCCAAGGGCCACACCCAGCAACTTTCTGGTTGCTTATTTATGCTCATATGCAAATGAAATTGAGCTTAAAATATGCTATAAAGTCATTGCTCCTTTGTGACCGGTCTTGCATTTACTTCAGAGTATTTATTCTAACTTTAAGCTAACCCAACTATTCCCCCCTCTCCCTAGATTTGTTACTCTTGCACACAGCAACTTGTATGCCTATTTTTTAAAGTTCATGAAATCTCTGAAGAGAAAAAAAAAAAAAAAAAAAAAACAAGGAAGCTGTTACTGACATTAGGTTGACATTTCTGCTTTCTATTTCAGTGAACTTGAATACTTCTACATGCTTAACCCATAATGTAACAAACATTTGATCTGCAGGCATTTGACATTGTTGTTTTTTCCTTTTAATTTTATTTATTTATTTTTTTATTTTTTTAATTTATTGGACAGTAGTACAGCGGAATCAGTAGTATGTATTTTAAAAACTCCTTGTGTTCCCCCACCCTCTTGGACTGTTATAATCAATATTATTAGAATTTTGTCACTGAATTGGCTTTAATTATCGTTATTCTTCTCATGCTTAATTAACACTTTTTCTAATTGATCTTGCAGTCCTTTGTTACACAGAGGATATCGGTTCGACCATCAAGTTCAGAATACTGTGCCAGTAATTGTAATTTATGAGTACTCTTCTTTTCCTTTTTTCTTTATGTCATTATAAGTAAAATAATGCAGTACTATGCATAATCATGGTCTTTTGGGAGCAAAGTTGTGTCTCTGCTTGTTAAATGCAAGGCTGCAAGTATCATGATTTCTGTAGAAAGTTAGAAACTACCAGTGGCTGGGTCTCCTGAATGCTTTTTTTTCTTTTTGGTTGCTATCTCTGCATACTTACACCAAATTTGTGATTAACTTTTGGTGCAGATGACACTACTGATGAGCAAGTTTACTTAGCACAATGGTTGCTGCCGCCACTAGGCTTCAAAGACAAGTTTGTGGTTAAAGATGTAAGGATAAAGATTTGATGTGCTTACCGAACTTGCTGAAGTTACCTTTTTGGGTCAATCTAATTACAAGGGTCAATATATATAACTCCTGCTATGTCATGCTTATCTATTGTCTTCAAAGTCATTTGTCTACAAAGTGCAGCCATGATTTTGCTAAAGTTTCTTCTTTAACCAACAGCCAATTAACATTTTAGTTGTTTATATCATTATATGTGATGCTGGAGTAAAATGAATCTGATAGTGTATTGTTTACATCCTAGAATTTCTAAAACAGTACTATTTTCTCTACTTTTACA